GCCCTATTCGCGACGGATTTACATTTAGGAGTGCGCGCGCGTGAGATGACAAAATTATCTGTCTCTCGATACTTTGCGCCCCTTTTCTAGGGAGGGTAAGGGGAAAGTATGCGAACCAGCTGGGAAGAAAAAAGACAGAAGTTGTTCGGGGATGAAAGAGGGAACGAGTCTAAGGCAAGCCAGATGCAAGGGGAGAAGGAACGAAAAGGGGAAGGACGGTCGAAAAGCAAGGGGCACACGAGAAGTGTGCATTGTAAGATCGGCGCGTGCGGCACGCGGAACCTTCGATATCGTCGTGCCTTGCAGTCGTAGAACCCCCCAGTGCCCCCCCGCCTGTCCCTTCTCGCGTCACCGTTCTTTGAGTTCCCTCTTTTATGAAGGGCGAGGGCCCAGAAGCTCATTGTCGGGGGCACATCTGCCGTGCGATCGCCGGCCGATTGTCTCGCAGGCTTAGGAAACTTGCTCGTGGAAAAAAGGCGGCTTAGCCGACGGGGCGACGACACACGTGGTGCGGGGACGTGGACATACGCGTGTCCGTCGCGCAGAATGGGGAAGATTTGCCCCAAGTAGTGGCGCCACTTTTGTCGCACGCAATTGCGGTACAACATTGGAGTCGTGTGTACCGATGAAAACCTAACGATGTGTGTAACCAACGAGAGAGATTAAAACTTTATATTTGATATCTTAGTAGTGATTACATACATTTCTGTAAGTCAATTTATCAACACAACTGTTTATCAGTTTTATCATCGTAGACATTATTTTTGCTTAAAAAACAAAAGAAATAGAATCTTCTTTTCCGTCTCTTTCTACGTTCAATATACGATCAACATGCGTACTTAGCGCAATTCTTAAAACGGCACGCTGTGAATATCCGTCAAGGAACGGTTGGACTAAGCGGCGCGACGTAATTACTTGCTAACTTGTGTTTTTAGTTTATTTCGCGACGTACTGCAACGTCGACGGCAGATTTAAAGTCGAGACCGCCACGGATCTGAGTGCAGACAGCATTAAAAGTGTTAATTACTAATTAAGAAGGGTGCACGCGCGCGGCGTGTAACATCAAGACCCCGCGCGACACCTTTTTGAACGCGCCCTCTGAATAGACGCTCACGCCCCAGCGGGCAAACGCGCGTAGTCGCTCGCTCGCTCATCCATCCGCGCCGCGCTCATCGACGCACGAGCGAGAAGACGCGACACGCATCTACCACGCGCGGCCACCCGCGCACGGACGCGCTCGCGCGCGAATTGTAACGCGCGGACGCTTAATGTTCTCTCGTTACACGCACTTTCACGCTTCGTGACCTCCCGTGTCTCGCGCCGCGGCGTAAAGTAGAGCGTGACGAGGTAGACGAGACGGCGTCCCTCTCGAATTCTTTAACGGACTTCCTCCGTAACTCTAAAGCCGCAATTACGGCCTGTCAACAGCGACAATTTTATCACTTAAGTGATCATATATTGTTCACGTATCACAGTATATCTGTTGGTATACGCATTTGATGTATTTGTCAGCGCGAGTAAATTAACAGACTGTGAAAATTTATATACAAATAACTCACGTGCTTTAATAGTCCTTTGAGAAAAATCCGAGCTCTTTGACGTCTGTAACGTCTTTACGGATTTTTGCGAATAAGCGAGCGGATAAGTTTCTTCCGAATAGGCAAGGGGGAGCGTCGTGGGAAAGTTTTGCCAAGAAAACCGTGATGGTTAGGGACTCAAATGTTCAGGGTCAAGTCGCGTCTTCGAGGGCTGCGCTATTGTTAGAGGTCGACCGACTCGGCATAACCGTTGAAAGGGGCTTGGCTGGCTGGTTCGGTGGCTTAAGAAGCATGTTTCTTGAATAGAGATCAAGAAAAGGGAGACCGTAAGGCGAGAAGATCGCGCCCCGCGATCTGCATTGCAAGCTCGAGGAAGGTGTGCGACTTCTCGCCACGTTGCGCGCCTTTGCCCGCCCAATTTCTTAAAGTCACAACGTGGAAAACTTGTTTTTGTTTGTATCCTTTTTTTTATATGCTTAAATAATAAACGAGAGATTTCAATTCAATTTCTTCCATTAATAGATAGACGTGCCAATACGTACGTACAATTTATCGTACGAGTCGAATGATGTGAATATGAAAAAAAAAAACTGTCAAGTAGCCGGGAGTTCCCCTTTTAATTGGTGCTCTCTTGCATATATACGCAAAACGCAACGCGTCACAAAAGCGGCGCGTTGAAAAAAAAAAAAAAAAAAAAACGCCTGACAACGATGAAGATCGCGGCTGAAGAAGATATTGCGTCGACAAACGCTATTATCATTAACTGCTTTAATACGCAACACTTCCGTCTTTCTCTTCGCTTCTTTCAGCGTCGTTAAATAAAACACATTCAAATCACATAAACATTTAAATAATCTAATCAGGTTCCATAATACTTCAGACAAAATGCTTTCAAATATTTTGTAGGTAAAAATATTTAAATATTTAGCAGAGAATTGTGTGCCGCGGACGTGACATGATTATACAAGTTTTTGTTTTAACGAATGACAGACAGAAAGAGATGAGGGAAAACTATCCGCTTCGAAGAATCCGGGAATGTCGCGCAAAAGCGATCTTCACACGTTCTTCATATTTTTTTTCTCGCTAATAAAGCGCGTCGTAATTAGATACTAATAATTAGCACCCTTATACGGAGATTTACGCCTTCTCTTCTCTTTGTTCTTCTTTTTCTCCTCTTTTCTCTTTCCCGCGACGTTATCCCGTTGCAACGGTGCGCAAGAAACCTCGAGATCCTGAAGAGCTTATTATTATCCTAATTATACAATACTATAATGAGTGATTCCGCGGTTCACCCTCTCAGCACTCGCTCTCGCTCACTCGCTCGCTCACCCCGTCATCCCCGTCTCTCTTCTTTCTTTCCTCTCACCAATGGCTCCTCTCGCTCACCGTTGCTCTTATCCTCTGCACTTGGTGGTCGAAGAGTGGCAATTCTAGCACTCGGGCTTTTTGTCAAACCGACTACGGAAGTAGCGTCGTCTCTCTCGCGCCCTCGCACCCTATTATGCGACCAGTCTCGTCTCTCTCTCTCTCTCTCTCTTTTTCTCTTTCTCTTTCTTTCTCTCACTCTTGTCCCGCTTTCTCTCTATCTTCGGGGTGTCTGTTTTAATTAGGCACTTCGTAGATACGTGTGCGCATGTGTGTGCACGCGCGCGATGTTTGCGCCAGGACGTACGACGTTAACGTAGGTACGTAAGCGACGCAGTCTACCACTACCTTCGCCACATTCCACCTATACTCGGCGATCCTACGGGCTTGAATGCGGTCGATGGGTGGTTGAGTAAGGATTATAGGTACAGGTAACACATGCACACGTAGGCCGGCGAAGTCGGGGGCGGCTCCGCCGATGGGTGGTATCGGTACGAGGAGATGAAGAGGGACGAATATTCGAGAAGGGATGATGGAGGAGGAACTCTCTTCTTTCGATTCTTCTCGCGTGCGTAACTTTCGCCGACTGACTGCTGATAAGAGCACGCGAAATTATCTTAATTGGCAGTAAAGCCAATTCGGAATGATTGAATGAGGAGAGGCCTCATCTCGTCTCTACTCCCGTCTGCATTTCTTTCTTTCATCGGCTTTGAATGGAGTGAACATTGCGGAAGATCGCGTTGTTTTCTTCGACAGGAAAAGCAAAAGCGAAGTTTCTGACCTTTCGCAATTTTCAAGCGCGCTATAAAATAGCATTTGCTTTGTTATATGCTAAAATAGAACAATAATGCATAGATGTGGAAAATCCTTGAATGGCTTAGTTTTAGTGGAAATTGTCGTGCTGAGACTTAGATATCGTCAGAAAAAAAGTTTTTTACTCCAAAATCGCGAAGTGCCGTCTCAAGTAAAAAACAATCTTAAAAATTGATCTCAACAATATCAAGCGAGAATCGTTAGTAGTCTTTTTACATTGTTGAGTATTCAGCAATGATGAGACGTATGAGAACTGCGTTGAACCCCATTCTTTTTTGCATCACCCAAGATTTAAGAGTACAAGATCAATAACTGCAAAGAGACTCATACTAACATGCACAATGAGCTTTAATAACAGGAGATCGATAAAAAAAATTAAAAAAATAACAAACGCATAGGCTTTTTTAGATTTTATTCATTTTTTCAAATCTAAGAGAAAGAGTTAGAGAGAGAGAGAGAGAGAGAGAGAGAAAGAGAGAGAAAAAGAAGTGAAATAAAACAAATAATGAAAAAAGTTGAAAAATATTATGCAGAGAGAAATAACACAAACTCAAGTTTAAAATGCTTTGCAAGAGTAGAAAATAAAATATTGAAAAAGGGCGAATAAGCGTATAATTATAATGACGTATTTTTATTGTTTCTACTTTTTATCTCTTATCAATTATTTATCAATTATCGCGAATTATGTTTGTTCTCCGTATTACTTAATGAACACGAAGCTGACGTACAAGAATGAGAGATATTTTTTCTACAAGCTGCAAGTAGTTTCACAAATAGAAACGGGAATTGCGTAATTTCGCTTTAATTATACGTCACTGGCGAGAATTGCGAGAGCATCGGGTCCTTCGTGGACGATAGATTTTTCATCGTCTCTTTGCGTCTGTCGTCTGTCCGCTTAACGTCGAGAAGAGCTCGCGTAGAGCTCTCCACATGTGCGTCTCGTCCCCTTCCTTCTTTTTTTTTTTTTTTTCATCTTCTTCCGCTTACGTCAGACCGCCGTTAGCTCATCGATCTTTAATTAATTATCGATGACGCATTAGCATTGCCGCTGTCTGTCGCGAGGAAACCAGGCGAGACAAGAATCAGCCGCGATGACGTAGAAAGATTTATTATTAATTGACACCTCAATGTACGCACATCGAGCCGTCGCAATTCCGTGAAAGTTCACGTTGATCATGTTTCATGGATTTAAATTAATATTGAATATACATATATCTCACAGTTGTTTGAGATTTAACAAAGTTATCGTTCTGTCTAATCGTGTGCATATTTGTCTCGTTTCAGGGAGTTCTACTATATCCAAATGGAGAAATATGCGAGGCAGGCAGTTTCGGAGGGAGTGAAAAACGCCGAAGATCTTCGAGTCGGTGGTGACTCGGAAATCTACCGGGTTCTCAATCTTCACTACAACCGTAATAACCACATTGAGGTATGGGGTCCCCAGGTGCGCAACACGAACACGCACACGCTACGTTTTGTTTTATTTTTTACTCGGTATTATTTTGCGCGAATTAAAGGAAGTCGAGCATGTGTTCCTTCGTTACGGATTTTTCATGTGAAACAAAGTGTGTCTTCGATCGAATTTAAATTTAGATTTTTGCAAAGTTCAGCTTTTGATGTATATTTCATGCAAATATTTCACGTGCGTCTTTGTGGTTCACTATAACAATTATGTTTGCATGTTTTGCGTAATAACAATTACGCGCGAGGCATCCATGTCCGCGCTAAAGAGCTTACTTGTTTATATTATTTGTAATCACAATTTAGAAAAGTAATTAATATCATCTGTATACGGTAGTAAGTTAAGAAAATGTTAGTCTTTGACTAGCGAGCAAACTTATTGTCATTACTGACCTATGGCACAAGTTGTAGTTTTTGCAAAAAAAAATTTTATTTTTAACGTGTCTGTTGAAGAGCAAAAAGTCCATAGATAAAAATGACCCCGAGTTTGCTGGCGGATAGTTAATACCATATTTTTTTATAATTGACTGTCACAAGATATATATCACAAAAAATCTCACACCTTGCGGTATTTTTTTATGATGCTATTTCTTGCCGCAAAGATGCCGAGCAGAAAGTTGTTATGTATGTCGTGACTTTGCTATCGCGAATATTACGTAACCGCAACAATGCTGTGTATATAACAATAACGCGAAACTTGCAGGTACCCAGCAACTTCAGGTACGTTGTGGAGCAAACGCTGAAAGAGTTCTTCAAAGCGATTCAGGGCGGCAAGGACTCCGAGCAGAGCTGGAAGAAGTCCATCTACAAGGTGATCTCGAGGTTGGACGATCCGGTGCCGGAGTACTTCAAGAGCCCGAACTTCCTGGAACAGCTCGAATGAATCAGGAGGTCGCGTGGCTCTTGCTCTTCGTGGTGCGCGGGCTCGCCCGCGCTCGTCGGCTCCCGATAAGTCAGGAAACGACCAACGAGGAAGGATCGCATCCGCTAGGAGGTACACGTCCTTCGCGTAGTGCGTGTTCAGGTATCTTTAAATAACATATCGCAAAAGAAAGAACGAAACGAGGGCTAGGAAGGGAAAGGAAACACGGACAAAGGAACAGAGGCACCATCGACGTCCAACGGGCGACGTCAAGATGCCAACGAAGGATCAGGCTGTGACCGAATCACAAATCACACACGGGGAGAGATGGAAGACATGCACATAATACACAATACGTGTAACACATACACACATATAAAACACTGCGAACCTACTGGCTGACGAAATCTCGAAAGCCGCCAAGTGTCGAACGCTCATCGATGTTCCTCTTGTTTCAACCGAACGAGCACACAACCATATGGTGATCCTGGAAATGAGATGAAGAAGCACGACGAAATGCGCGAAATCAACGAACAGCGAGGATAGATAGCTTTTAGCGTCGATTTTGTCCGATCTGTTTGTAATTGTAGAGTAATTTGCTTTGTTACCATCTAATTTTACATCAAACGATAAGGAAAAATTAAGGACAATGACACTACCGAGAAGTTTCACTTCCAGAAAAAGACGGAGACGTTCGGAATGTTTATAAGCGTATACTCAAAAATTGAGTCAAAGTGAAAATCATAGTTCCTCTTCTAGTTCAAAGAAGATCCGGAGGATCTTCTGTGTCTGTGAAAGAAACGACGCAGAACGGGCAGTAGCGCTCCTCGTTCTACGCCGTTTCACAACGAAATTATATGTTTGGATAAAAGAAAAAATCTTGCGGTAAATTATTCCGAATGATTCTGTCTTATTCTTTGCAAGATGTGACTCTGACCAAAACTAGAAAACAAACAAACATTTCTTATCGATGAATAAATCTCATTAGGATTCATACTTCGATAAGAAGATCTTTTTGCTGCAATTCTTAGCACGTTTCTTTCAGAGAAAATTTAATCTCTTCAAATCGTTAGTTGAAAGTGCGAGGTTCTCCTCGATGTGCTTTCCGACTGACGCGTCGATAAAATATTCACTTCCTTGAATTAATAAATTAAGATTTCGTTTTGTCACGTGTAATCGATCGATAAAGTTTGAAATCGACGTGAAAATGCTTGGCTATACTAAAATTACATCGCGCGCACAAATAAGACAAGTGGCGCGAAAACAAAAAGCAATCGTGCGTGCTTACATGGATACCAAAGAATCGACTTGACGAAAACGAAAAAAAAAAAAAAAAAAACAACGTGAGACGTCGCACAAATAATCAAGCGACCGCTCATAGCAATTTCCGCACGAAAAGAACCTGTTCCTATCTGCCGAGGAAGATCTTCCTCCGCGCGTTCTTTTTGTTTCTCCCGTATATAAATGTTTTCTTCCGTTCGCTCGCTGAGGATTACTTATCGAGCCGATAAAAAAAAAGCTACGTTTGAATACACACGTTGCGTTGAGAGATTTGGTGCATGGGTCAATATAAATAGCTGTTTTTTATTCAATGGTTGGTTGTATAAACTTGCGGTTTAGACTAGTCCCATTGACGAGATTAGGAGTAGTACGGGCGACGAAGATGCAGCGTCGGATGCAGCGTCTGCGTGAGAGTTGTGCATACCGGCGATGTATATGTAGCTGTAGCGTAGCGAACAAAAAAAAAAAAAAGGAAAAACCCAAGATACTATTTAATCGTGCGCCGGTGCGCAATTATATAAATATTGGTCTTTTAAAGCGAAAAAAAGGGAGACGAGATGTTGGCGCGATTAAAGTAGCGTAAAAAAGAACGTGTGTGCTAAAGGGTAGCATGCACAACCGCGCGACTTCTTCCCCCCCCCTCCACATACACACACACACACACACCCCCGACTCACTCAGACTTACAAACACGGACACGCGACACGCATATAGTAGTCACTTGCACGTATATATATTAACTTATGTCGCACGTTCACGCGCGCGAACGTGCGACAATCAGAGACAGCGCCCTTACACTCTTACTGTGACTTTTTCTCGCTAGGAATTTTCTGTAGATATATATTTCTGAGACGAAAAAAAACAAAAATATTAGAGATAATTTTTGAGTGGTAGCGAGTGCACACACATAATTTAACTTTTAATTTTTTCCCTACCCCACTTTTATTCTCGCTACTGCGCGTGCACTATTATTATATCTTTATTATATTATTATTATATTATTGTATTATTATTATTATTAATATATTATTATATTATTATTAGACTCACACACTATTATTTTTACCAATAGGACAAATAATATTTTAGCGTGAAATCATTATGATTATCAATATTATTATTATTGTCATCGTTGGAATTGTCATTTACGGAGAGAATTTAGTTAATTTGTACACATAATCAATTCCGTACATCTTTGCCTTCACCTGCAATTCCCACTGCTGCTCCTTCATACTACCATTTTTCATCCTTGATTTGTAAGACGATCTCCTTCAACCACTATTCCCAATTTTATGCAAGCTTTGAAATTGCGCTATATCTTTAGTTATTATGTATATTTAGTTATTATACTAATAATTACACTAAAATTATAATGGTAGTATATATCAGGCCGTACACACAAATATCATTTTGCAAGCGGTGAGTCTTAACCTAGTCACGAGTCACTATTTTTTGATTAATTGATTAATTTTAATTGATTTATTGATTATTTTATTTATTAATTATGACAATAAAATGAGAACCAAATTTTATTTGCGTTTACTTTGTTTACCCGTAAATTTATATTTGTTTTCACTCGCTCGATACATATTATCATCCATTCCTCAAATCAAAAACTGTTACATTGACGTATATTTTAATAATGAACAAAAATGCGAAAAACTGATCCCGATTTGACATAGTTCTAACATTCTTGACTGCCTATCACACCTATTTCTTTTCTGCAGAAAGAATTATATATCACCCGTAAAGTCGCGATCGGTGAGTTCAACGAAAGTCGAGGAAGCGAGTGGCTCCTTCCGTCCGAAGTATAAGAACGCGCATTGTTGAAACAAAAGTGAAAAGAAAATTTTGAAAATTTGAATTTTTATTATATAAATAATACAAGACTTTGGCCTAAAACTAGTAATTCCTTCGGTGTTGGCCTAAGATTTTGGTCTAACAATTTATAGAACAAGAAGGAAAATGATAAGAGAACGAAGTCGTAGGGATTTATACTGTAAATGAAGATTTGTAAAAATACGCGTTACCTGAGCTCGCTGACTTGCTTGTCGCTATCTTCGGGTGATCCCGTATGTCAAGGCACAATAGGCACAAGAAAATTATTCCTACAAAATCCGTGGTTTGAATTTCTATTAATATAATTTGCATCTTAAAAACTATCTTCTCGCAGAGCAATTTTATTTATATAAAAAATAAAGTACAATTTATCTTTACATTATTTTCTTTTTATTTTTTGATTTAAGTGTAGGTACATTACTTAAATTACCTATCAAATATATTCTTTTTTTTTCGATTTTTCATATAACAAAAAGTATATTAAAATAACATTATATATGTATAAAACTTTTACTCTAATACACAAAAGCTTTGGAATAATTAACAATATTATTAAAAATTTATATTATTCAATAAAACTTTATAACATTTGTTTTGTTGTATTTTAACGAAAAAAAACAAATAAGCTAATCAAACTAATTTATATATTTGAATTAGGTAACGACAAAACTTAAAATTTACTTAGAATTTACTTTAATTTAATTTTAATTTGATATATATATATATATATATATACAATGATATGTTTAATACATTTTTTATTTTATACCCCAATTCTCTAACAGCTTTGCGCTTTCACGTCGATACGCGTCAACATCTTCTCACTACCATCATTAAAGACAATAGAACATTACTCAAAATATCTTACAATATTAAGTATCATAGCTACACAGAAAATATATGCTACTTCAATCTCTTATATAGATATTATAATTTAATCTTAATATTGATATTATCGATCTCGTTCTCATTCTCTTTTCGTCGATTACACTGAAGTTATATTATTTCCATAACTTCAGCGTCAATCATATGATATATCTACAACTATTCTATATTAAAAAAGTATTCACCTCTTTCAGATTTATTTCATAGAAAAAACATTTATTGAGTTTGCTACAATTTTAAGTCAATCTTTTTTTTTTAGATCGCAACTATGTTACAAATAATTTTTAAAACTTTTACCTTGAGACATCTTGGTAAATCTCAGACATGTCATAAACTTACGTATCGCAATAGAAACTGAAACTATATTTATCTACATTGATTCCGATGTTTATCTACTTTGATCTTCGCAACGTTGAAATATTATCGTAAAATTCGGAATTTAGCGGATAAATTGAAGCATCAGAGGAATCTCGTATGATCGCTTATTCGCGATAAAACTGAAAATGAGAAACCGTTACGACGCATATAAGTAGCTCTAGCATGATCCTTCGAGGCCATCTACGAATATAAAAAAAATATAAAAAAAAAAAAAAAAAAAAAAAAAANAAAAAAAAAAAAAAAAAAAAAAAAAAAAAAAAAAAAACACGGAAGAGTGCAAGAATGCAAGTCCGCTTTTCTTTATTTCTCCGAGAATCGAAGCTCTTAGCGCGAGAATTCAATCATTCTAGATCTCACACCAGACACACACGCACTCGGGCCATCTTCGAAGAGACCCGAGATTCAAGAAGGAAGGTATCTGAACAAAACTAGCAATCGCACCGAGATTCTCTCGATTAACGAGAGAAGCAACCGCACTCCTTATCTCCCGATCGATGCTACCGATCACTCCCGATCTACCGACGCGACGTAGATCGCGAAGAAAACTGAATTAATGAAACAGCATAAACGTAGAAGAAAGGAGCGAATTCTCAACAATTTTACACGGATGCGCGTACAAAGAGAATTGACATGAACGTGAGACAGACAGACGAGGTCGACACACGAGAAGGATGTGGCGAAGAGACACGCATACTCCCGAAGGATGAGATGACGAAGAAACCTGAGAGTCGTTGACTGTTTCACCTACGAAAAGCGAAATTATCGAAAAGTCGATTGACTCGCCGTTTAATTACGTGTACGTATAGCGGGGCCGAGACACGAAGAAATGAGTACACGGGACGGAACGAAAATTAAACGTATAAACGAATACGAGAGAAATGAAAGAATTAATAAACATACGTACATACCTAAACGCGTAAGTTTTAAGGACACGTAAGCAGAAGTAAGTAATAGTATTTAACGTTAACACACTTGCAAGCTATTATTATATAAACGATTAACTAAAGATAAAAAAAAAAAAAACGAGCGGAAGGTCGTATCACGCTGCAGAAGGAAGAGGATACCTACTTTAAAAAAAAAAAAACACACTAATAAACTAATTATTATATGATTATATTATTATTATTATGATCACATTACTATCGAGTTCGAGATTAAGCCGTGATAACAAGAGAAATCAGCGAGAATGAGAGAGAGCGAGAGGAAGTACCCGAGAGAAAGCGAAGGGGACAGAATGTGGAAATTCAAAGTGAGTTCACATTGAGAATAATAATTCCTCAAACTATTAGGAGCATAATTAGGGTATATTTATTATGGCGCGGTAGTATACAGAGAAGATAAGAAAAAAAAATAAGGTGGGAGAGAACAAAAAATACGTTGTCTCCCCGTGACGTGTTTTAGCGGGGCGGAAATCGCGTCTTTCGAATTTTCGCGTGCGCGATAGGAACGAAGTGGAGGAGCGAACCCGGGAGAGAACGATCGAAATATTGCGAGAATGAGAGGGAGAGAATGAAGAATCTGTACACGACGGGAGAAAGAGAGAGGGAGAGCGTGAAACAGAGAGCGTAAAACTATGTTTCTATGTGAGATCGCGTGCGTAAGCCAAAAGAAGAAGTAAAAAAAAAAAAGAAGAAGAAACTGATTGTTGACACCGAGTGAGCAAACTTTGTGTGATAATCTCGTAGTACACGTAGCAAGTTAAGTCTACAATATGTTTGGTAGGGAATTAAGGTGAGAGCGACTTTCGGAAAGTCGGGCAGGAGAGCGGGGGAATAAAATCCGACCGAGGAATCTGAGAGGTCTTCCAAGTCTACCTCCCAAGATGTGTGCGTTTCTAAAAATCGACCGGGGACTAACGCCCCTCGGGCTATCGACATATCACCGCGTGTACACGGACCGTTAATTCGTACAGCTCTTGGTTACAGGATGCTCGAGACGCCGTCGATTACTCCGGTGTCCCGATTTAACGTAGAAATGAACATTGAGTTTCTTCGATTAGCTACAAATAACTTTTAGTTAAGTCGGAATGAATTTTGCATCCTCGACTTTGCGATTCAAGACGAGAAATCGTAAACGCAATTACAGTTTTCATTTACAGAACGACAGCGAAGACAGTCGATACTCCTGTCTCGCATCTTGTATCTTTAACCTTTTACGGTCCACGTACGGTTTTTACTTAGAAAATTGTTTTACTTAGAAACAGAAATTGAAATTTTCTTGCCAAATTAACTTAACTTATTGATTTTCGCGATACAAGCTAAAATTAAATCATCGAACATTTTTTTATATTATTGTAACATTTTAATAAAGTAAATTTCACGTTATCAAAAACGATGTTAAATTGCAGTATTTGTATTTTTTCTGCTTTA